AATAATAATAATAATAATAATAATAATAATAATAATAATAATAATAATAATAATAATAATAATAATAATAATAATTTTTTATAAATGATCGAGTTCACATCCAATTAAGGATACTTGATTGACTTTAAGAGATGAATTTTTCAAAATTTAGAATATTTGAGATTGATGATATGAAATTAAAACATCTCAACAAACAATATTATTTGATAGTTAATGATCCAATTACTTGTTCTTTTTCTGGTTCTCTCTCTGCCCATGTTGTTGATTGGCTTAAAAAGAATGTTAATAATGCAGAATACTCTTTATTTGAATGTGATGAAGAATTTTGGCTTAAGAAATTTATAGATACTTTGTAAGTATTTTAACATTGTTTGTATCTATGTCATAAGCTTTACTTAATTAATGTTTTTTTTAGCAAACATATACAAAAAAATGTTGTAGGTATTAATATTGAAAACATAACAGAAACTGAATGATACATTGATGTATTAAATCTGCTGCTAAAGGCTTTAGTTTTAGACCTAAAATATATGAAATTTAAAATGTAGGCATTATAAGTTGTTTTACAGTTTTTATCTTATTCCAACTGAAATTTTCTCTTGTAATATAGAGATGAATTTTATACAGAGTCAAGTTAACAAGCAAGCAAAGAGTCAAAGTCATCATCTAATTCTTTAATGTGCTCAAGCCACAATAGAAATGGTCATCAACCTCAGTAGCTAATTATAATGAAAATACTTTAAATATGGCACCTTCTATTTATGAGGAATTAACATTTGTTAATTTGAGTGTAGAAAACTTTAATTTAAATAATAATTATTCTAGCAGAAGTAATGGAATATGCCCTGATAGTAAATTTATTTGTAAGGATATAGTTCACCAATTTGGAATGAAAGTAGGTGTACTTGAAGTTAGTAAATCCAAGTCATCTTCTGATAAGAAAGAAAGGAATCGTTAAAGCTTATATTGTCAATATTAATGTCAGAGGGTTATATTCATCATAATTTTGATAGTCAATACATGACACAATCATTTCAAATATTACTTGAAGGAATTGGATATATTACTTTATAAGTATATAATGAGTGACTAATTGTATATAGATATGATTTCACAAACAGTCCCATAAAGGTAAGGCAAACACTAATTGATGTCTTAATTCCAATTCGGCCAACAGTTAATATTGGATTGACAATGCTCTAGGACATAGAATCAGTGATCAGTTTCATAAAAGAAATTACAAAATTAAGAGAATTTTTAAAGAGAATTGACACTAGTTTTGGAACATTGGCCAATCAGCTTAGTAATAAAGTGTCATATAAAACATTAATTGAAAAAAAAAATTTTTACCAAAAATTTATTTATTTGAACTTATGTGATATATTGTCACAATGGGTGGCAATTTCGAAATTTTATTAAAATAAACAACATTTTTGTATATTTGCAAACATAAAAGTTTATTATGCATAATATGCAATCAAATAAACATTATCATTATTTAATTTGATTTTTAATATTTTGTATACCAAATAAATTAATTCACAATATTAATATAATTTGAACAAGTTTAAACTAGCTAATTTTTATATATAATAATTATATTTGCATATCTAAAGTTTATTCATTGAATTTAATTTATTTTTAAAATGACTGCCTTGAAGAAATGATTTCAATAAGCCTAAAATCACCAAAATTTGATTACAAAATTATAAGATCATTAAAATTTTTATTTTAAAATTAATTTAATTAGTCTATTTTTATCAAAAATAATATGTAAACCTTAATGATCTTGTGACCCCATGATCAGATTTAGTGATTTTTGAATTGTCTTTTCAAGCTGATCATTTTGGTGATAAAATCATTAAAAACAGACCAGTCTATCAAAAGTTATCTACTATTTTATATATTAATTTGAAAAATATCTTATTTTGGTTAAATAATGTTATCTTATGAACCAGTAATTAAAATTGCATAATTCTGATACTATTTGATTCATCTTGATGAGACAAATGGCACCAACATTATGTAATTTGATTATTAACGCAATGTTAGTGTGCCAAATTAAGTACTGTACCAAATTTTTTAATTAACAATATCTTGTGATCTAGTGATCAGAATTGAACAATTTTTGTACCATTTGATTCAACATTGAAATGAATTGAATAATACCAAAACATCCAATTCTGATCAATCTATTATATGTTATATGTTGTAATGCTTAACTGCATTAAATTAGACATATTTACCTTAAATAATAAAAAATAATAAAATATAGGTTGTATTATCACTTTTGATACATCACATTTTATAAAATAAATTAAAAAGCTTATTAATAATATTAAATCTAATAACTGTTATTTTAAACTAT